AAATTATATTTTATTTTTTTGTGAGTAAAAAAACTAATTCATGTTACACTTATGTGGTATTAATCTAATCAAATGAGGACAAATAATTAGGCCTTGTTCTATTTAGCATACTTTAAATTGCAGGCATACAAGTCACCCTTGAATCTGTAATTTTTAATTCATTTATTTCAGGTCTACTAATTTGACTGTTAATAAAGATAAATATCTTATTTGTTCTCTTAAAACATAGTATTTGGAGTTATTTTAATTATTAGTTTGGTGCTATTTCTATTATTAAGTTTCTTCTTTATGTCAAAATTTTCTTTTTTATGATGGTTCTAATCTAAGTCTCATACCATGTGTTAGCTTAATACATCCAAGCCTAAGATATATAGTGGTCTTGATTTGTCTTATCTTGATATGTTGAATTTAATGTAAATCCAAAATTATAAGGAGACACTAATTTGTCTTCTCTTTTAGCTACTTTATGTTTTAATCATTATGGGCCCTTTGGGATTAGACATAAAAATAGTTCTTCCTCTTTTGGGAAGCATTAATGTCAAGTGGCATTTAGAAATACGAATTGTCTTCAATTTCAGTTTAGTTCTAATAGTAATCATCTTTTCTTTTTTTGACCTTTGGTTGAATGGTTCCTTAGTTAAATGGTTCTTCTCTTTTCGAGAAATTTGGTAATGTTATTTTCATCTGGTTTAATCATCCTTCTTTTATTAAAGATGGCGATATTATTAATATTGATTTAAGTATTTTCCTTCATTTTGTTATATTCTCGATTTTTTGCTTAAAGTCTATTCTTGATATTACAATTAAAAATGGTTTCATTTCTTGTCTTTTGAATGGTCAGGACAAATACACTAGTTTATGGTTTATATTTTGATAGTTCTACTGTTGTGAATTGAAATAAGCATGTCTGGCTAAAAAGTTACTCTATCAGATATGACATTAATATTTAAAAAACTTTACTTAATGGTCTTAATTAATTTATGATGTTTTGATTGGGAGAGATATTATAAATAACTATTCTTTTATTTTATGTTCTAATCAAAATGAAACACATTCATCTTTTATTTTTTGTCCATAATTTGGTCAAAAGATGTATTCCTTATTGGAGAATGTAATTTTATCCATAATTTGGTCAAAAGATGTATTCCTTATTGGAATTTTCATCCTTTAAATGGTAATCTTTTATATATTTCATCTCAAGTGGATTCTTTTTCCTCTAAAATTGGTAAGAGATTTTATTTATTGGTTGCTCATGCTACTACTTATGTCATTTAGAGGGAAAGAATGAAAGATTAATGATTGTATTTCTACTTTTGGAAGAATGATTTTAATATCCTCTAGATTCTTAAGTGGAAGAGTAGAAGATGAAAGTTTAGAGATAATATTTCTTCATTTATTAAAGATTTTTTTTTTTTGTTTCCTTTTGTGGGAGTTTGTCTTTTTTGTTTAGTTAGTCTTTATTTGGTTTCTGTTTGTTGGTTTTTGATTGTTGGTTTCTTTTTGTTTTTGCTTATTTTGGTTTCTATTAAGTTCAAATGTGCTCTTGATTTATTGTTTTGATGAGATTAGGTTAAGCTATGATAATTTTCAACCATTTATTAAAATTCAACCATATCTTAAATATCATTGACCCAATGGTTCTTAAATATTTATAATATTTGGATGGATTTTTAATATTTTCATTTCAGGTAAGTTTATGAGCTCTTTTTTGGATATTGTTGGTCTTTCTCTTGATTATTTGGTATGGATTTCAATATAGGTGTTTTTTTTTTATATTGTTGTTTTACCTTTTATTCTTATGTTGGATAGGCTTCTTTTGTGCTCTTTTTTCCACACAGTTGCTCCTTTGATGTTGTTGTTGTGGCTATTATTGGGTGTTGTCTAGGTTTTTTGTTGTTGAAGGTTGATTGGTTGCTACTTTTTTTTGTTGCTTTAGAGTTTTGATCGGTTCTTTTGTCAACTACTTCTTTGAGATTTTGTTGTTTGTATTTGTTGTTATTTTCATAGTGTAATTTGTTACGATTTTTTTGTGTGTGTTGTCATGGTTTTTGGAGGTTGAAGGTTGTATGGTTGTTGCTACTTTTTGATGTTTTTGGATTTATAGTTGGTGGCTTTTTGTATTTGTGATTTTATTGTTGTTGTTTTGGTGTAGTAGTTATTGGTAGTTTTTTGTTATTGTTGGTTTTTTGGTTATTTATGGATATTGTGGTTTATTTCTACTGGTTGCTGCTTTGGCTAACTTCTATGGAGTTTTGCATGAGCTAGTTATTATTTGGTTATCATTTCTCCTTCTTCTGTTAAGTTCAGATGCGTACTCTCTTGATTTTTTGATTTGTCGTGTTTAGTTTGAGATATGATTTTATCCATCTAATCTATTAAAATTCAACCATATCTTAAATATATTTCATTGATATTTTTTATATTAGGAAGGAAATTTAATATTTTCTTTTAAGTTAGTATATGAGGTCAATTTGCTTTTCTTTTATCTGTTGTTTTTTATGTCTTCGATGTTATTAGTTTTTGTTTTTTCTTCTTTTTTTTATGGGCTTTATTGTTATGTCCTTTTTACTTTCTTAGTCTTATTTAAGTTTATTTTTGTGGATGCTTTAGTCTCTAGAAACTTTTTGGAAATTTCTCTTCTTTGCTATTGATGTGATTGTTTTGGTGTATGTGATATAAGTTTAGGCATTGGTTCCACAATGATGTTGTTGGTTTGGATCTTTGTTTGATGTGGATGTTTGTTGTAGCTAGGTGCTTCTTCTTCTTTCTACACTGGAG